GGCAAGCTACATTGTAGCCACAGCTGCCCTGGGGCGCACAAACAGAGGCGAGGCTGCCGGACACTGGCGCCACTGGGCCCTCTGACCAACGGAAATGGTGAGCTAACACGTTTAACATATTGATAGATCCTAAGTGTTTTGCCATTTTTTAAGTAGTGTGTCTCACAAAATCAGTTATTTGGCAAAACCTTTGCCACCCAACACCCCTCTCTAGACACGCTCCTGCTATAGCTGTCACATTATTAATGCCATGTCACTCCTAAATCATACATCATCAGAAGCATACTACATGGGCTGAGGGCAAAAAGAACTGGAGTGATGCTTAGTGATCCATAGTCCTCTTTAGGGTGGAAGAGAGTGATACAAGAATGAGCCTTTAACCCGAGGGTTCACGTTTGCAAAAATAATATTGTAAAATGCCAGAAATTTAAAAAATTACAGAGATATTTTTCTAATGTTTGCATATCATATTTTTCAGAAATATTTAAGTAACATTTTCAATACTCTCATAGTGCAATTATTGTTTGCAACGTGTTATTCGAGCCTTCTGAATTTTAGTTACATTAATATATTTTAATAAACCTTAACCAAGGTGTGGAAGTAGCTTTTTGTGAAAAGCTACATTTTTAGACTTATGCAGGCCTCAGAAGACAGAATTGGTACAACAATGTCTTATAAAAGTTTCAAATATAATTTAAAATTTGTTCAAAATATAAATGTATGTTTTAGTCTACTCCAACCTTGTCTTACTAAGTACGAGCCAAACAATCCAGCTGAACCAAAATTTTAAGTTCAGATGGAAAAACATACTTACTCCAAAGAGAAAAGGCTGCTGTGATATTTAAAAAACTTTTTTTTTAAAATTTTTCCAGCACTGTATCATGTATGTAAAGTAAATGTAAAGTATGTAAAGTGTAAAGTATGAGATTTATAGTTCAAATGTAAAAGCAGTGTAATGTGACTGAGGAGGAAAAACTCTGCATAGCATAAAATACTGTAGATTTGAAAGCTAACTAAGTGTAATAATAAAACTTTACACAAACAACCAGTAATGTTCATTATAGCTTATTCTAACATTTTAATGAAATGCTGAAAATCACCCACTTCCACTAAGGGCTTGATGGTCCAACAAGAAATGCAGTTCAGGAAATAAGTCTCATGTGCTGCGTTTCAGTGAGCTTAGATCTTCACTTGTCCCTATGACAGCACCATTAAGACATCTGTGCACACAGGAGCAATTGCAGATTGACGGAATGCTGCATTGTTAGCAAGACGTTTGGGACGCATATAATTCATTTTATTTTTTGATCTATTTAGTTTACTATTTAAATGATAAACATATTAACTCAATTAGAACACTGCAGCAGCAGCAGCCGTGCAATCACGAGGCCTGGCGTTACTGACAGCAGTATAAAGAGGATGGAGATGAGAGAGGCCCACGGGCCAATAAAGAAGACACGAAAAGACAATGAAAAGGAAAGGTTTGAACGGGTAAAAGACGAGCTTTAATACACGCTGGAACAGGAAAGGTGAGGATGACAACGATCGGGCGACGACAGATATAAAAATCCTACCAATCTGGACGCTCGGAGATCCGCACAATGCCCCGCGCCATAAGAGTGCCACCAAAAATAGCAGCTTCATTGTGGTGTTCAGGATCCTCGCACAACACCACAGCATCTTACGATAGAGGTTCCTACCAAAACATCACCTCCATCAAAGACGATGTAATCTCATGGCGTTATTCCGGCGTTATTTAGAAACGTGTCGGGCTCTGCAGATGCCCGATCCTGTCTCCTGAGGTGCGCGTGCTGCTGCTGAAGCTGGACTTGAGGGCGCGCGCACTGAATTGCCCAGGAATGCCGATGAAGCACGAGAGAGAACCGAGAGCAGCCGACTGCTGCACACGAGGTTATTATAAACCTCCGCTCGAGGAGGCTGACACAAATTCTAACATAACAGATGCACACTGGGAATTTTTACAATAACTAATTTCTAATTGCATTAAGCAGTGCCTAAAAACTATTATAATAATTATATTATATACATTATAATTATGATTTCCTTCTGTCTTTTTTATTATCGTAATCATTACATGCGCATTTAAATATGTTACTATGTATTTTCACATTGCTGTATAGCAGCTGTGTCTATATATATTGCCGTGTTAGGTAGGGAAAAAAGAGACTGAAGCCATCCCCACCCAACGCCGGGCTACCTCTATATCACAGCTAACGGAGGGTAAACGGTCTTAAAATCCAGCCTTATGCGACTGAAAATGATCCAAGTGCAAAAACAGAGCTTTTCTGTATGTCCTAATAATAAGGCATTTGGATTCTTACTCAAAGATAAATCAAAATTAGTTAGCTCTATATATAAATGTGAAATGTTGTTTGAGTAGTGAAAATGTTCTAATGGCTCAGTATTGTGTCTGTGATTGTGCGTGTGTACACATGAGCCAGGAATGCAGGAAGACAATAACTGTGTTGTCACACAAAATCCTGAATCAGAACAATAACATTAAATGTTGTAGTTGTTAAACACAGAACCAGGATTTATATGAGGTTTTACTACTACAATCGCTTAAAACTGATCAAACTGTAACACAGCAAATGTAAATATGTTCAATTAGTCAATACTGGCATGTTGAATCGAAATAAAATAAATAAAAATAAAAATGTTTAAGTTAACTAGTATAATAAATCAATAAATGTGATTCTAATAACCGGCCTCACTGAGAGCCTGTACAGAGTCTGACCTTGGTGTGTGTGTGTGAGTGTTTGTGGATGTGTGTTTGGTGCAGGATGGGTCAACATGACACACTGGAGCCACTAATTTCAGTGAATGTCTGACTCACAAAATGTATGATTTTATAAAAGAAGTTGACTAAAATAAATTTTAAAAATAAATAAACGTTGATTGACAAACATTATGAAAAGAAAGTATTATCTTCTGTATTTGAATTATAAAGGAATTATGTTACAATAAATGTTCATGTGAAAATGTGCTAAAAACAAATCTGAATTACATAAACTGAATGAAACAGAATAAATTATATCCATGTGTGACTGAATATTTAAATGTGATGTGAACTCTCTATACTAGAAATAACAAAGAATATGTAATAAAGTGGTTTTAAAGGTTAAACTTTGTGTTAAAGTTGGACAAACAGAGACTGATAGATAGGGTGTGGGTGGACACTGGATGATTAGACGTAAACAGCTTGACTGAATGACCAAAATATGAAGATGTGATGGCTAGTATGAGAGGGGGGAGAAAAGTGGGCTGTAATAGAGATTTGGGTTCTTTCCTTTTTGTCTTCTGTGAGATGAGCAGTTCAGAAGATTGGATCTAAGAGGTTCAAGTTAAAATTCCAGCAGGGATGCGAGTGTGAAAACAGCAGCACAATCTGTGAACCTGTGAATTGATCTTGTAATTTTTGTCTTTCCATCTCATCTCACTTTTTCCATGTTATGTGGTTAATTCACATGGATTTTGGTTTACATTATACTTCCACTGGATAGCCAACTGTTTGGAGATGATCATCCACTTGGAAACAAAGGGATAAGTGCAACTTTAGGTCTGGTTGTGCTCATTCTCTCTCCAACCTCTCTTCACCAAAGATAAGAACAAAATCAGCATTAGCTCAGAGTAGGTAAGTTATATAAGTATAGATTAAGTGATTTGATTATTGTTTTGTCATTATTACTATTTGCTAAATTGCTTCAGTATAATCCCCTGCAATTAAAGTTTAAATTGTGGACATTCACTTATTATCCTTTAGTGAAACACATTCGGCACAGGATTATCTGTACAGAACATGGCCCGGAAGTCCCGTTCCCTAGGGCAGTTGAGAATGATCGAGCTACCATCCTGTGGGACTTTTACAAATGGACAAATGGTGATGGTGGATGACCAGAGGAAGAAGGCTATAGTGATAGATGTAGTGATGGCAACATGAGGAAAAGGAACACAAGATGCTTGTGAAATAACAAGGGCTGAGTGAGGAGCTCTAGGGTGGAGGGCAACAGTGGTTCAGGTGATAATTGGAACACTTGGGGCAGTAACTTTCAAACTGGGCGAGTGGTTCCAGAAGATCCAGGGACCAATATCCAAGATCTCTGTGCAGAAGAGTGCAGTCCTGGAAACAGACAAGATACTGCACAGGACCTTCAAGCTTGCAGGCTTCTGCAGGCTCACAGGACGGGTGGTGATTTTTTTTTTTTTTTTTACTTTTTTTTGTGTGCTGTCTGGACCAAAGACAGCACACAACGATAGTCACCACAATGTTGCTTCAGACTCCAGTGGTGGTGTGCTTTATACCAATGTATCCAACAATGTATGCCGTGTGGACCAACCACCTTTCCCCTCTTTCTCCTGTTCATAACATTCTGTAACCAAAGGAATTGCACACCTTGCTGTCATTGTAACTCTTCTGTAATGCCAAGGTATTCTAGGGTCAAATGTGAAACCATCTGTTCAACAGCTAAGTCTTGGCCTAAACTGAATGATGCAGCAGGACAATGATCCCAAACAAAACGGAATATTTTAATTTTATTGGTACAACCCAGTACAGTAGTTATTGGTGCCAGATGGGCTGGTCTGGATATTTCAAAAAGTGCTGATCTACTGAATATTTGCACAAACTAGGCCTTACAGAGAATAGTCTGAAAAAAAATCCAGGAGGGCCCAAGTTTCTTGGTGAAAATGTTTTATTGATGGTAAAGGTCAGAGAAGAATGGCCAAACAGTTTCAAGGTCACAGACAACCAAAAATGACATGGATACATGGATTCATCCTGCTGTCTATCAGCAGTTTAGGCTGCTGTTGCTGGTGTAATAGCATGAGATATTTTTCTAGCACACTTTGGGTCCTCGGCTACCAAATGAGCATCATTTAAGTCCCACATCCTACCTAAGTATTGTTGGTGACCACAGAAATTGTGATGGCTGTTTCCAGCAAAATAACACACTACGTCACAAAACTCAAATAATCTCAAACTGTTTTCACCTCTGCTGCACTCCAGTTCCTCCACCTCGGAGGAAGCATCAGTGTGAGCGGCAGAAACGCAGCGGTAAGCTGGTGAGCTGGTGAGGCTGAGCATTTCTCTGCTTATGTCAATCAGAACTTTGTCATTCCTGAGTCTGTATCTTCAGATTCATAGGCGCTCAGCTCCTGGTTTCATTCCACCTGCAAATTATATTAGATGCCGTGGCCCCATTAACAACCAGCCTAAAACTAAATCTAAGCCCTGGCTAAATGACACAACTCATGCTGTTAGACATGAATACTGAAAAGCTGGGGAAAAAAGTGGAAAAAGGGCAAGCTGCAGATCTTGTTTCAAATATATCATTTACCTTATGGTAAATGGACCAATTCTTATATGTTTTTCTACTCTCCCAGAGCACTCAATGGCTTTATACAACATGGCTCATTCACACATTCACATCCACTGATGCTAAGATCCTGTGGGACTTCCAGATGGAAAAACTGGTGATGGCTAACCAACTGACCATAGTAGTGGTGGACAAGCAGAGGAAGACGGCCGTAATGATAGATGTAGCTATACCGAATGACCGCAACATCAGGAAGAAGGAACACGAGAACCTGGAGAAGTACCATACGCAGAGAAGAGCTCGAGAAGATGTGGAGGGTGAAGGCAACGGTGGTTCCAGTGGCTCCAACAGATCCAAGGAACAACACCTGTGATCTCTGTCCAGAAGAGCAAATGCCTAGTATGTCAGATTACAAGTCCAGCCCTGGCTCAGGCCCTTAGGTCCAGTAAAAGGAACTCTAAATGCTTCAGCATACCAAGACTAGAGATGGCACGATACCCCTTTTTTATGTCCGATACCGATACCGATATCATAAATTTGGATATCTGCCGATACCGATATGAATCCGATATAGTTTTTTTTTTAATCAAAAAAACTGTTTTTTTAATATCTTGCTGCATTTTGTATAAGTTCATACTCAAGTTTTTAAAAAAACAACAACACTAAAGCTATTCTGTTATACCTGTATGCAAAAAATACACTGCACCCAAAATATTTCATAATTCAGCAATACTGATCAGTCTAATAAACATAAACCTGCTCCATCCTCCCTATTCTGGTATTTTAAAGACTACTTAGCGTAAATATTAAGCAACCTAACTAATAGGGTTGCAAACTCCTAGCAACAAAAAAAAATAGGGAACCACCCCTCACGCTCCACCTTCACGCTCAACATCTTTCTTCAACAGAATTGCAGACTGCACAGATGGTATCTTCCCAAAGGAAAAAGTAGTATAGCTTACTAGGGTATATATTAGACTTAATAGTTACTATATACAGTAATGGACTTCTATTCATTTTAAATCAAATTAAAACTTTGGGTGTAAGATTCAGATAATTATTTAATACAAGCTAGACATTTTAAATGAGAATAAGAAAGAAAAGCATGTCTTTGTGCCCCCTTTTCCCTGTTCATGCCCTATCGGCCCCCCTGGCTAAACTTTGCTAGATCCGCCTCTGCACAGTTAAGATCCTGGTGTAGAAAGTAATATTAAATAAATTCTAACAACAGCTTATCAAGGTTAAACGTGCTGCTGTTGTTCAGCCGCTGGTTTCCTCTTTCTGGTGCAAAGTGGGCCAAAAACAAACAAGAGAGACGGAGTCGCGACAGATAAGCCGATCAGCTGATCATTAAGCAGTTTCATGATTGCAGTAGCAGCAGGAGAGGGAGGGAGAGACAAGAAGCAGTCGCTCCATATATCGGTTGTTAACCTTAACGTGGGAATGCTTTACAAACATTCAGAGATGAACTTCCACACTTGCTTTACTTCTCTCTGGGAAAACTTTGTCGGAGATGAAATGCCGGGTTGGTAGCGAGGCTCCAAATACTCAACCAGACCGCTGACAGGTCTCGCACGCCACAGCCGCTCTATCACGTGATGCATACTGCTCCGACGTGCTAAGGTTATGAGCTGAGTTACGCCATGTCATAAGTTTTGTGAGGTGCTTTCGTGATATTTAATGGATCAGATTACATTCTTTATTTCTCTCCGATATCCGATCCAGTAATTTAGGCCAGTATCTCTAACCAAGACATTTTGGACAACTTCATTCTGCCAACTTTGCAGAAAATGTTTGAAGATAGCCCCTTCCTGTTCAAACATGGACCTGCAAGGTCCATAAAGACATGGATGAGCACATTTGGTGTGAATGAATTTGACTGGCACGAAGTCCTGACCTCAGACCAACAGAACACATTTGGGATGTGGAATGGAGAAGAAGCATACTGTTAAACCTTTCTTCTTAACCCAGCTTTAAGCTGGGTTAAGAAGAAAGGTTATGATCAGTGAGCTGCAGTAGGCTTTATATTGCTCCTCACTGATCAGATGCAATGTTTGCTGTTAAAGTGTTGATGCAGAAGTATAGAGAAGGTCAGAAGGAGCTTCATTGTATTTTTGTGGGTCTAGAGAAAGCACATATTAGGGTACCAAGAAAAGAAAAGGTCAGTGTTTAGGTGTGCAGGAGGAATTACAGATGGGTTCAATGTGGGGGTGGGACAACATCAGGGATCTGCTCTGAGCTCCTTTATGTTTGCACTGCTGATGGAAAGCCTGACAGATGTGGTTGGGCAGGAATATAGGATATAATATAGGATTATAGTGTTTGCAGATGACATTGTAATCTATTTTGAGAGAAGGGAGTAGGTGGCTCCACCAATCCTAAAATCCATATACAGTTTTAGAACAACATATGCGCCCATCCAGATTACACCTTTTTCAGATGTATAATTCATATACATGATATTCAGTAAGATAATGCTAAACGCTATACTGCATCCACTAAAACACTAAGGTTTCATATTAGAAAAGTTGTTGGACTGGTTTGCCTACTTCCAGACCTGTTGGCAACTGAAAACATCTGGCCCATCATGAGCCAAAAAACATGACAAAGAAGACCCAGGCCTGATTAGCAGCTCTATTTTTTCTTAAAATGGACCAGTTCCTCAGTTTAAATTGCATTCTGTAGTTTACATTTTACACACTGCCTGAAGTGTTTTTGGATTTGGCCTTGTTTTAAGAATAAAAATATTACTTAACATCAGTTTTCTAATGCCAAAAACACTCTAAAGTCCAAATGCTACAGATTAAAGAGAAATAAGGTAAAGAGAGATCAATTTCAGATCTTATACTAGAAATACTGAAGGACAAACAAAAGATGCTGAAAAGGCTTAGGGGACCTAATTGGTTTTGCTGTCTTCTTGAATTTATTGCCATTGTTACCATGGGTACATTTTCTTTGAGAATGTGAACTGCTTCATGTTGTGTTTATTTTGTTTTTGTTTAAAAATAAATAAAACAAACAAACAAAAAACAAGCAAAAAACAAATGCAGCACATCTCTTCTTGGGGAAAAGAAAATTTTATTCACTTCCACAAAAATGATTCAAGTTCTTTGCAGTGCTGGGAAGACAGTACTTCTGAAATATATATCATGGCAATATATATTTTAAGAAAGGGCATAGCAAACAATTTAGCAACTGGCAGTCAAGCTTAGCTGGTACTTAAAACTGTGCAATCTAACGTCAAAGTACTCTAGCAGTTAGAACACTCCAGCAAAAAGATATATCATCGATCTTTAGTGAAATTTGACATATTGCATAATGCCATCAGTCAGTTATCAGTCTACTATATATGTATTTCATTCAGAGTCAGAGCCACATGGAAATATATCTGATTCTTTTCCTGTTCTTGCCCATTCATTTAAATCACATCTCCACAGTTTTCTATTTGGCATTTTAAGTGAAGAGTTTCTTCCTTTTGTATGATTATATCTTTACATACTGGAATGTTACTGACTGAGCTGATTACACTTTATGTTACAAAGTATAGATAGCATGAAGTTATTCATAAAAAGCAAGGTGTCATAAGAACTAATAATTGTTAAATTAAACTTTGGAGTAGTTTTTCTGTAATGTTATGCTATGTAACATTAACTCCTTGCATTTTGCATACAGTTTTTCAAATTAAGAAAAAAAAAAGAACAAAATATATGTATGTGTGTATTAAAAATAACAGAGAAATATTCAGCAGCAGCAATTGTTCCTTGTTTTGTAATAGGAATGCACACGGGACAATAAGCCTAAATGTCAAGTCTCTAGTGAGGTATCAAAAAGATCACACTAGAATAAATAGTTAATAGTTACACTGCACAAAAAATTAAAGCACCACTTTGAAAATGCATCATGGAACGCAACCTGAAAATTGAAGTAAAAAAATTATGGTGCTGGCTAGTTCATTTTGACAGAATTTAGTTCCTTCCACTCAACATGGTACTCAGTAGTCAATATAGGCCCCACACGCTTGTCATTCCTGACAGTTCCTAACAAGATTCTTCAAAGAGTAGTTGTAAAACATTTAACAGATCATCTGCAGAAGAATGGCTTATTTGAAGAGTTTCAGTCAGGTTTCAGAGTTCATCACAGCACAGAAACAGCTTTAGTGAAGGTTACAAATGATCTTCTTATGGCCTCTGACAG